TAAATACTTATTAAAGAATAATTCAAATATAGTTAGACGTAATTTACGTAACATACTATAGTATTAAAACATTTTTGCAAATTCTTGCATTATTACTATGTATAATGTATAAAATACTTGAAACGTTAAAATTAATTTATGTTATATTAAAATAAATTGAAGTTATAAAGAAAGATATGTAATGTTGTATTAAATGAATACTTAAGTTGGTGATAATAAAGACATATTATAAACACTATCAATAATATTTCAAATTGTTGTCATTTTCTCATAAACACTAATATATATTATATATAGTACTAATATATCGTATTATTCTATTAAAAAGCATGAATTCTATTTTATTGGTTCGAACTTATAGTTCTAATACTTCTTGCACAATAAGAAAAAGCGCAAAGATAATTAGAAATGAATTTTTGGATTATTTTAGAAAAGATTTAGGACACACTTTTATTCGTTCAAGTCCTGTTGTACCACTAAATGATCACACAGTTGCATTTGTTAATGCTGGCATGTGTCAAGTATGTATGAATTCTGAAATTATATAGAATAGATCTATTAGAAATTTATATTTGCTTTTTATAATTAGTTTTATCATCAAATATAAATTTTCTTTTAGTTTAAAGGGGTTTTCTTAAATTATTATGATCATCCTGCAATGAAAGTTACAAATTCACAAAAATGTATAAGAGTTAGTGGGAAACATAATGATCTAAATGTAGTTGGAAATGATACTTATCATCATACATTTTTTGAAATGCTAGGAAATTGGTCTTTTGGAAGTTACTTTAAGGTAATTTCTAAAAATATTTTATACATATTATGGCTTTATATTTCCATGTAAATCTTGTTAAGTAATGAATATAAATTCATATTTCTAGGAAGAAGCTTGTCATTATGCATGGGATTTATTAACAAAACATTATGGTATTAATAAAGAATTCTTATATGTAACATATTTTGGTGGAGATGAAAAATTAGAATTAAAACCTGATTTAGAATGTAAAGATATTTGGTTAAGTATTGGTGTACCAAAAGAGAAAGTTCTTCCATTTGGGTTGCAAGAGAATTTTTGGGAAATGGGAATTTCAGGACCATGTGGTCCTTGTACAGAAATTCATGTAGATCATACAAAACAATTCACAAATCGATCTATGCAAGTTAACAAAGGTCTTACAAATCTTACAGAATTATGGAACATTGTTTTTATACAATATGTACGGTATGTAATAAAACAATAAATAATATGATAGAAATATTTTTATCAAATTTTAAAGTAAATACGTTTACTGTATGATACAGAAAAATGATATACAATATACTATATCATGTACTACAATATTAATATTCTATTGTTTTATGTTAGATTAGCAGATGGTACAATAACACCTTTATCAAAACAACAAGTAGATACTGGCATGGGGTTTGAAAGATTAGTTGCATTATTACAAGGGAAAGATTCAAATTATGATACAGATATTTTTCAACCACTTTTCAAAACTATTCAAAAATATGCAAAAGTGCCAGAATATAAAGGTAAATTCTACAATGATATAGATGGACTTGATAGTGGATACAGAATATTAGCTGATCATAGCAGAATGATTACTGTTGCATTAGCAGATGGAATGGTTCCAGAAAAAAGGTAAATTGCTCTAATTATATAATAATCATATGGAATGTATTATTATTCACATTAATACTGTAAATATTTAATGACACTTATGACAGTTATTCAATTTTTATGGAAAGTAAACCTCTTATGAAAAAATTTGATTCTATATTTTTTATTCAGTTTTTAATGTAGAATCACCATCTTCTCACTTATATTACCAGTTACATGACACTGTATAACCATAGTTGAATACTTTCAGCAATAAACTGAGAAGAATAATAAGAAAATCAGTTGATATAAGTGAAAAAGTATTTAAAAAACAAGGAATACTTTTGGAACTTTCATATGCTGTAGCAGAAAGTTTAGGTGATGTTTATCCAGAATTGCATGAAAATCTTAAAATGGTAATATAAAACAAAATAATAATTAGCTAACTAAAATAAAGTAGTAAGAAAAGTAGTAAATTGTATAACATATTATAATTTATTATATGTTATAATTGTAACTAGGTACAGAAAATTATTGGATTTGAAGAAGAACTATATATAAAATTACAACGCACTTCTGATAAACAATGGAAAAAAATTTGTGAAACAAGATCTCAATTGAAATTGGTTACTGACTGGGTAGCTCCAGGTCTACTAGATGGATATAACTACCTACAACATGCTATTTATAATTTGTAAGTTACAATTATACACTTGTAAATGTACATGTTAATATATATAAATCTTGTTCTTATTATTAATTCTGCAGGAACATTACTAATGTATTACCAGGAAATGTTGCTTTTAAGTTGTATGATACATATGGTTTACATGCAAAGACTATAGATGAATTAGCAAAAATTGAATCTCTATATTTTGATGAAGCAACTCTTCAAACAGAATTAGAAAATCTTAAGAATCGATCAAGAATTGGCATTTTACAGAGTAGTGTAACAGCTCTAGAAGAATCTGTAAAACTATTTGAAAAAAATGATGTACCTAAGACTGATGATAGCTTTAAATATGAATATGTTTTTGATGGAAATAGTTACCAGTTTCCTAAAGTAGAGGGTAAAATTGTAGGAGTGATTGTAAATGGTAAAAATTTATAGTTGATTTATTCATATTGGTTTTATACTACTTAATTGTAAATAGTAAGGTAAAACGGAATACAATTTGTTTAATTTAGAAAATGTAATATTAAGTAAAGCAAATGAAAGTGCAAATGAATATATATGTCCAACGGTTGATGAAACAATTGCAAACTGTAGTGCTAAATTAAATAAAAATTATATTGGAATTGTATTGGATAAAACAGTATGTTATTCAGTAGAAGGTGGACAAACATCAGATAAGGGCTCCATTTGTATTAAAGACTTGACTTTTAGTATAACTGATGTAAGAAAGATCAATGGATATGTTATACACTATGGAAATTTTTTACAAAGTGATTTAAAGTAAGTTTTCTTTTCTAATAATTGTATCTCATATTTCTATTAATATTGTTGAGAACAAAAATTTATCCATATAGAAAACAGAATGAAGAATTTAAAATTGGAGATCACTGTGTTGTTTCCATTATTCCTGAATTTCGAATTGAGTTGATGCAACATCACACTGGAGCACATTTATTAAATGCATGTCTAAAACAGATTATGAAAGCAGTTTATCCACGTAATTCTCGTATTTTTCCACATAGTTTAAAGTTTTTATATAATTCATTTGGAGAAAAGCCTTCTCTTGAACAATTACAAGAAATTGAAAAAGTTATAAATAATGTTATAAGAGCTAATGTTCCAGTTACTACAAGAGTATTAAATGCATTGGAATTATTAGCAGAAGACTTTGTAACTTTAACACCAGGAGAAATTTACCCTTACAAAGACATCAGGGTTGTGGAAATTGACTTTCATGATTTAAAATCAAAGTAAGTATTTTTTAGCAAATAGTAACTATATATATAAAAAGTAATTTTATTTATTTCTTTATATTTTCCTGTATTTAATATGTGATACTGTGTTTTGTTTAGGGAAGCATGTTGTGGCACACATGTATCTAAAACAGGAATACTAGAATATTTTTGTTTCCTCGATTATTTTTCAAAAGGAGCATCAAATTTTAAAATTGAAGCAGCTGTAGGGTCACATGCAACACTTGCCAAATTGGCAGGAGAAAAGCTGCAATCGAAAATTTTAGATTTAGAAAATAAATTGAGAAGTGAAAAACTTGCATATCAAGCATTTAGATCAATTAGCAACGAAATTAAGGATGAAATAAAAGTTAGCAAAGAAGTGTCAGTACCATATGTCATTGAAGAAGAATGCTTAATGAAATTAAATAATTTAGATAAACTTGCTCGATCCCAAACAAAATGAATAGAAAAGTAAATATTGTGTTCTGCTCATCATAATATAAAAGTGATTAGATTTTGTTAGTTAAATTTATACAATGTAAATCACTAAAAATTAGGATCTTGCATAATTTTTATTCATTTTCATTAGTTCATTTATAATACACAATAATGTAAATTACATTTGTATAATAAATATATACATATTAATAGTATTTTACATATGTTAATTTTAAACATAATTACAATTTTAATAACTATATGCTTATTTAAATGATTTATGATTTTCTACATTATTCTGATAAAACAGTCTTAGTGCATGCCATTGCTGTGTATGCAGTAATATGTGAGGTCTTTTTTGCTTCATGTATGCCACTGCTTCCTCGGGAGTCCATCTGTTTTTCTAAAGAAAAAAATATTTCTGAGTAATACTATTTCATTTTAAAAATATACTATACAGAGTTCAACAAAAAACTTAATCCATATATACTTCTAATTATCTTACCATCATTAAATAGCATCCAACTAATGTTGCACTACGTGTTCTTCCTGCTTTACAATGTACATAAACACTTCCATACTGAGAAATTTTAGAGTCAATAACAGAACTATTTAATGCAGTTGATATATTACGAAATTTGTTCATAAAGTTTACACCTAATTTTAACTTTTCTTGTGAAGGTGTTTGAAAAATATCTATTACTGATAATTGTAAAAATTCCACATTATTTCTTTGCCATTCCTAAAAATATGTAATATCGTAAATTTTTGTATTGCTTCATATAAAATTACATCTTTAATTTACAATTTTTGTCTAAATAATAATAGTTTTAATATATAAGTAATTACC